CATTCCTGCAGCCTCTGAGTTCGACCCTGTTCTTATCTGAGGGCTCTGCACCCCCTTGTCCGCTGGATGGGTCTCCCGTCCCAGGCCCTGGAGACACCAGGGAGGCCGAGACCGGACTGGCAGGTTCCAGAGAGCCGGGGGCTGGATCTGAGCAGACCCTTCCCAGCCCGGACACCCCAGACACAGGGCCAGAGCTTGGCCCAGGCCCCAGCAACTGCCCATGGAGCCCAGTGACCAGCAGCCACCACTCCTTGTTTGCTGGTATGGAGCTGGTGGCCTGCCCCCGCCTGGTGGGGGCTGGGATTGCTACAGAAGAGCCTCCCCAGGTCCCCTGGACGTTGTCACAGAGAGTGGCAGCCAAGGAGCCTTTTAGCTCAGAGCCGTCAGCTTTTGCATTTTTAAACTCATGATCATGTGGGCCTGGGCCGCACGCAGAGTACCCTGTGACTCCCAGGACCAGCCGACGCTGTGCGATCCCCTCTGCCCACAGCCCCTGGGGTATCTACAGTCAGTCTTCCCCTCACCCCGGGACCTTGGTGCAGGGAGCCGCCCAGCCAGGCAAGCTCATCCTGGAAGACCCGTGAGAATAGCTCACGACATGGCCAGAACCAGGACAGCCCTCGTGGGTGTGGTGGCCGGGGAGCAGCCTGCCTGGGCGGCCCGCAGGACTTACAGAGAGGGCAGGATGGCGCAGAATCAGGAGCTGAGCTCTTGTTGAGATTGGCAGCTGGTGGGCCCTGGGCTATGGGCCTCTTGCTTCACAGCCATCTGGCCCAGCGAGACGAGCACACTGGTCCCATCTGCAAACCCCATCGGGCCCCTCAGTGGGGCAGAAGGTGCGGCATGGCCTGCCTGGAGGGGCAGGACAGGAGGGGAGGCCTGACAACAGCCCAGAGACCAGATGCCCCCCGGAACTGCCCCAGGTTCACAGGCACAGCACAGGAGGGCACCGGCCCCTCTCGGGGGCCAGTGCTGGGAGGCGGGGGAGAGGGCCCATCTGCAGACAGCCCAGGCTGACCATCTGTGGCCAACAACCCAGAGAAGAGAACCTTAGGGCCACCTTGGTTCTCCCCCTCTTCCCGCCAGAGCTGGCTGTTTGGCTTTGAATTCCTATGGCCGAGGACAGGCAGGTAGCAGTGCCTTTGAAATGCTGACAGCAGGCTCCCCTGGGAAAACCCCTGCCTGCTTTGCTCTTGTGTGGATTAGGAACCACTGCTTGGGTCTTTGTTTTTCGAGCTCATCCCTCCCTCTGCACGGGGACACATGCAGCCACGCACCTGGGTCCTCAGGATGAGGCCCTGGTGAGCGTCAGCTCCCTGCGTGACCGTGGTGGCTGCTTCTGCCATAATGGCTTCCTGCAGACTGCGCAAGGTGGCCTCACAAGGAAACTCTGTCCCTCTGGGAGGATCTGGGACACTTCCTAAATAAACACTTGTCTCAGCGCTGCACTATGTGCCTTTTATGTGTGTGTGTAAATGAAAATAGCATGAATAAGGGGTACACTTAGAGGGCTTCTAACAGAAAGGGTAGATATTATGCCTTAAATGTTTCAAAGAACTCCCCAGCGATACTATCTGGTCCCGTAATTTTCTTAATTACAAGGTTTTCAGCTATGAATTTCAATTTCTTAGGTAGAGAGAGGTTTATTTGCATGATATATTTCTTTGTTTCAGTAATTTGGGTCTTTTAAGAAATTGGTCTTTCATGAAAGTCAGATGCAGCTGTAGAGTTGTTTGTAGCATACCTTAATAAGCCTTTTAATTTATATATGGTCTGTAATATTTTATCTTTTATTTCTGGTATTGAGAATTCTTTCCCTCTCTTTTTTTTGGTTACTCTAAGTAGTTTATTAACATCGATCTTTTCCAAGAACTAACTTCTAGTTTTATTTCTATACAGCTTTTGTTTTCTTTTTCACTGATTTCTGGTCTTTATTATTTTCTTTTGCATTGGGTTTATATTTCTTTTACCAGTCTCTTTAAGGTGGAAGTTTAGATTATTTGAGACCTTTATTCTTTGCTAATATAAGCATATTAATAAATTTTTCTCTGTATGCTGCTTTGGCTGCATTTGTGAATTTTATTTTTATTCCGTTAAAAATATTTTCTAGTTTCCCTGAGCCTTCCATTTTGTCCAGTGGTTATTTAGAGGTGTGTTTTTTCCTGTTATTGCTTGTTAATAATGATACGGTAAGCGGTCATATTTTGTACGACTGGTTAAAGATGTCAAACTTCTGTCAAAGTTTGTTTTATGGCCCAGGCTATCATCTGTGTTGGAGTGTTCCATGTGTAGTTGTTCTGGAGAACTGCAGACAATATCATATCCTTCATGAACATAGAAGAAAGAGTACTCAACAAAACAAATCCAGCAGTATTGTTAAAAAGTGTATAAAAAGGGCAACATCGTAGGCATAAAAAATAAAAAAATAAGGGAGCGTAAGCTGACAAGGTCCTTGCAATCTGTGAGGTCAACCAAGGGTCGCCTGGCCTCAAAAAGTAAAACAAAAAATAAAGGGCAACACATCACAGTGGAATTCATCCTGGGGAGGTACGGTGGTTTAACATCTGCAAATCGACTGGTAATTCACCATATGATACATTAATGAATAAAAGTTACATTTTTACGCAAAAATAAAAAGCAAGGGAAAATTCAACATTCATTCATGGAAAACTCAGCAAACTAATTTCGAGCGGCATGGGAGCCCACAAGTGAGAGCCGCTCGGCCGCTGACGGCGCCCGCCCCGCCCCACGCCTTCCTCTCCGCCCCCACGCCGGCCGAGGCCCCGCCTTCTTCTCCGCCCCCACGCCGGCCGAGGCCCCGCCCCCTCCAGCCACGTCCAATCGGCAGCCCGCCGCCACGGCCGCCCTCGGATCTCCGCGGCTCCTCCCACGCTTGAACGTCCCGAAGGACAGCGGAGAAGCCCAATAAGTTCCCTGAGCGGGCAGCCGGAGAGCCAGTGCGGAAGCGGGCGGGCAGGAAAGGCGGGCCTCCGTGACGGACAGGGGAGGCGGTGCCAGGCTGGCTGCTGGTTGCTAGCTGCCGCCGCTCCTCCGACCGCTCGTCAGCTTCATTGTCACCTGGGCTTCGGATCCAGCTCCGGGGCCGGGAGCGCGAGGTCGCCAGCCCGAA